TGCTATTGTAATTCATCTCTATTCCTTTCTCTTTTTCTCTCTTCATTTGTGATTTGGTGACTTTCTTCACTGTTATATTTAGAGTCCTTTCTCATTATCTTTTGTGTATCTACTATAGGTTTTTGCTTTGTGGTTAGCCTAAAGTTCCCATATAACATCCTATATATGTAACACTCTGTTTTTAAGTTGATAATAACTTAAGTTTAAATGCATTCTAAAAACTACATTTTTACTTCCCTTCCCTTCAAAGTGTTAGATTTTGATGCTGTATTTCACATCTTTTTATTTTGTGTATCTCTTCATTAATTATTGTAGCTATTGTTAATTTTAGTACTTTTGTCTTATAGCATTCATACTAGATTTATAGGTAGTTAATCCCCTATCTTTACTATATGTTTTCCTTTTACCAGTGGGTTTTTTACCTTTTATATTTTACCTTTTATAACTTCTACAGAAATTTACCCGTGGGAATTTTACTTTTACATTTTATCTTTTATAACTTCTACAGAAATTACTAGTTAGTACTTTGTCTTTTCAGCTTAAAGAAGTCTCTCTCAAACTAGTTGTAGGACCAGTTTAGTGGCAATGAACCATTTTAGTTTTGGCTTGGCTATAAAACTCTTAATCTCTCCTTCATTTCTGAATGATAACTTGCCAGAGAGAGTATTCTTGGTCATAAGTGTTTTCCTTTCAGCACTTTGAATATATCATGACATTGCATTGGGTAACTCTTAAAATCACATAAATATACACTAACCTGTCCGAGATTTGTGAGACAGAAAACTGATTAGAACCATTTAAGATATAAATTAGAACTATTTAAGATATAAATGCTGACTCTCATTTTCAGGTAGATATTAGAGATATTGGTGCTTCAAGGTGGTTCCTCAAGAAATCTTCCCTAACTTATCTAGTCACCAAGTACTTTTTAAATTTTATATTCCTTCAGCACTCAAAAGCCAGTTTCCACTGCGATGCTTGTTAATTCTTTCTTTAAATATGTGTTCAGTGCTTGTAATGCGTATGAAAGGCAGTAGGGCACACAGGTTAGAAGCAACACCTTGACTTCAAATGGAGAATTTGTGACTCAGCTCAGATACATGGAGCTTTGTGACTTTGGCTAAGTTGCTTAACTTCTCTAATCTTTGTTTTGCTCATCTGTAGAATGAGATAATAGTGAGTGTATTCCTATATTCAGTATTCTTTGTTATTATTTTAAAGATTAAATTAACTAAGGGACTTAAATCTCAGCTCATGAGTTAAGCACTTAATCAGTATTGGTAAGTGTTCATATTATCTATGACTACTTCTACTACTACTGTCTTGTTCTTGGTTTACTAAGGAGGAAACCAGTAGGTGCAGACCCTATAGAATTTCCTAGTCTTAAAGGAGAACATATCACATGTTAAATGACCAACCACATGAGTCTGTAAGTTCCAGGAACATGAGTCTTACAAGTGGCAGCACAGTGTAATGGTTAAGATTATAAACTCTGCTGGAATCAATTTCTTTTTTTGAATTCTGGTTCTACTATTGACCGGATGTGTCACCTGAAGCTGGTTATTTATTCTCTTTGTGCCTCAGTTTCTTTAAATGTAAAGTGAAATAAGAGTACATCCCTCATAGGGTCATTGAGAGGATTAAATGAAGAAATACTTAAATGAAGAAAGCACTGTTGATGGTGCCTGGTATAAAGTGTTCAGTAAATGTTAGTGGCCATTACATACTTCTTTGTATCTAGCTCACAACTTAGCATAGTGATGTGCCACAGATATTTGTTGGTTTGCTAGAAGTAATAGTATGAATACTAGACTATGGCCCTAAAGCTATTATGTCATTAATTTATAATTGAAGTGGAAGGAGTCACTGTGGGCTACAGAAGTAAAATGGTTTCTCCGGCAGATACCCAATTTCTTCCATGTTTCTTACTCAAAAAAAAAAAAAAAAAAAAAAAAAGGAAAAAAAAAAACCTGACAGTTTAAGGAAAGAGTACATATGAATAGCAGCTATGAAGCAGCACATAAGGTAATATGATAAATGAAATGTAACCCCTTTATATTGGGTATCCCAGCCTCTATGAGAGTAGGTTAAACTTGACCCAAACCCCCAACTTCTTGACTTGACTAAGTCCAGTGGTGGTTACCAAGCATTTTGGAACCCCAAGTACATTTATTCAGTGTTCTTCAAACTGTATCGGTTGTCCTATGACATGTTCATCACCGTTCCATGGGGAAAACAAAAGGATGGGGGCTTTCCATGGTTAAATAGGTTTAGGAGATATTAAAAAACAAAGTTTAACAGGTTTTATGTATACGCAGCACTTCCCCCAAAGTATTTGACCATGGAACTCTTTTCTCAAAGAAAACCTATCGATATCTTCTTTTTAAAAATTTTTTTTTAACATTTATTCATTTTTGAGAGGCAGAGAGAGACAGCGTACGAGTGGGGAAGGGGCAGAGAGAGAGGGAGACACAGAATTGAAAGCAGGCTCCAGGCTCTGAGCTGTCAGCACAGACGTTGGGCTCGAACTCAGGAACTGTGAGATCATGACCTGAGCCAAGTCGGATGCTCAACTGAATGAGCCACCCAGGCGCCCCTTACCTATCAATATCTTCTATTGCACAGAAGGAAGTTGGGGTAGGCTGCTTTAATTGGAAGGGAAAAATTATTGGCAAAATATGTACATATTTGAAAAAAAGGAAGAATAAATGTTTTGAATATTCATGAAATGTCAGAAACTTAACCAGTTATATAATCCTTGCAATATCTGCATTATATTTTATCACCAAGATTTTATGGATGAAGGTTTTAAACCTCAAAAATTAAAACTAAGTCACACAGCTAGTAAATGAAGGAGGTAGCCGCTTCTCCTAATCAAAATACTTCTTACACATATAGAACTACAAACTGGGAGGAGGAAGGCAGGCAAATGAAAGAGAAAGATTACTCCAGGGTATGCACACACAACCTTCAGTTTTTCTTTTCGTCATTGCACCCCCAAAATACATTAACTGAAATTAACTGAGAGTAAGAGAGAAAAAAATGGTCTTAGTAATACAAGAAGTACAGAGCAAACACGAATTGCTCTAAGAAAAAGCACCAGATGCCACACAAAATATTGACTATGTTCTTTTCATATTTTAGAACCAAAATTAACTGCCACTGAAAAATTTTCATAGCAGGTCCAGTGAGGTACATGCATAGTGAGTCTATATTTTAATGGTTCTTAAAAATACATGCATTAAGAAAAGTATTGGTATTTCTTCCATATTATCCATATGTGTGTGTGTGTGTGTGTGTGTGTGTGTGTGTGTGTGTGTGTATACATACACAATACCTATGGATAACTAGTACTATTGTTTACTGAATATCTTCTAACTATGCCACCGGATGTAACCCAGTAAGTTATTTTTATAAATTGGATATTGGATTTGCTTATCGGATCAAAGGGAGTGACACAGCTGAATAATTTCCTGAGAGACCACCATACAATCTCTTTGAATTAAGAACACCCCACAGAATTTTAATGATCCTGTTCTGCAGATTTCCTCTCCTCCGACAACATTATTTCTCATAAGGTGCACCAATAATGTAATTTGTGACTTAAAGGAAGGTCATCTCTCCAAGTCCGTGACTATTACCTATTGCTTGGAGCATTTTTCCAGAAAGGTGGCCTGCAAACCTTTTACTTCTGGCCATCTCTGAACTTTAAAAAAGTGTTTTGCCTCCTAGGTATCTTGGAGAAAATGAGAGGAGGCAACACAGCTTGTAAGGCAGGTACTTCTATTCCTAAGCGGTATAAATTGAAGCTTATAGAGACGCAGTGAAGCAGGACTCCGGAGAGGAGTCCGGTTCTCTTAATGCGACAACCTTTGGGACTCGGCATGCAGAAGCTAAAAAGCAACGTGGAATTATCAGTGAGAACTGCACCTCAGAAAATCCTTTGCTTTCTTTGCCAGTATTTCACGTATATTTTCCCACGACAATCAAATTTATACCACGTTCGCAAAACACAAATTTGCCGACCAAAAAGTCATGTTCGTGTATCCACAAAGTGGACATAACCTTATAAAGTGTGTGTTTTTTCTCTCGCGAAATAGCCTGAAAACAGCTCCCCCTCGCTGTGGTTCGAAGCATCTCTTCACCAAAGTTCAAGCCAGAGCTCAAGTAGAGGGTGTTTCTGCCTTTGCTCTGGACCAGCAGCCTGGCTCGAGTTGTTCAGTTGCTAATTAATAGGTAGGTGGTCTCGCTGCGGAGACAGCGCCTCTTTCCTGACCGGAGCATGCATCTTTCTAACTCCCGAGCGCAGGAATCTGGCGCCTTTTCGCTCCCATGCCCGGAACGGCACTGCCTCGGTGTGCGCTCTTCAGACAGCTGCTCTTTGTCCTTCCAAAGAGATGTCCCCACGATTCAGCAGTAAGCAGACGAAGTCCCCACGGACTACTGTGGCCCGATTTCCGTCCATCCCCTCTGTGGGAATCAGGCTTTTCCCGGAGGAAACCCCAGGATTTCTAGTTCACAGAAATTCTCTAGGCACCCACCCCAACCAGGAGACGATCCTTTTCCTGCAGTAGATACGCCCACGGCCGCCCTGGGGCCGCGATGGAATAAGCGAGCGCCGGCCGGGTGACAAATAGCAGGTGTGTTACTGCGAAGATGGCGCTTTTTAAGCGACGCGGTAGTGACCCTCCCGGGGGCGGGGGAGGGGGAGGGCAGGGACCAGGGCGGGGAGAGGCTGAATTCTCGGAGCCAAGTTGCCCTGGGAGTAAAATGAGCCCGGCAGTGGGCTGGCTAGCTGCAGAGGTGGAAACCCCGGTTGGAGCAGTTGGGGTCGCGCTCCTAGTTCAGGCGCAAGGAGCGTGAGCGCCCGGAGGTGGACTCGGGATTTCAACGTACCGCATATTTGCCTCTGTTGACGTCAAATATGGAGTTAAGGTGGCTATTGAGGGGGCTTCAGGAAATGGTGGCCCCCCAACACCCCCCCCCCCAGGGGGGGGGGGCATAGCACGTCTAGTTCTTCAAGTTTTTGTCAGAAAAGAGCGGGAAAGCGCCCCCATCCAGCCTGTTAAGCCGAGGAATCGGCGAGTCTCCCAGGCCCACCCCTGCAGCAGTGATGCAAAGAGAACAAATCAGCGACGTAGAGAGGAGGGAAAAAAAAAGAAAGAAAGAAGGAACCCCCTGGGGGTGGTGGGAGGAGAGAGCGGACGGAGTAAGCACGGAGCAGTCTCCAACCACTGGGACGAGAGGGAGCGCTTTCTGGGGAAACAAACTCCGCATAAATAATTGAGTTTGGAGCCCTGCGCTTTCAGAAGCTCGGAGCGCACCTCCCCAGCGCCTTCCTAGCTGAAAAGGAGCCGAGCGGGGAAAGAGGTCGGTGACGGGAGCGAGAGCAGCTCGGCCGGCGGTGGGACGCTGTGCCCGCAGACGCCCGCAAGAGGGACAGCAGGGCCCAGTGAGCAGAGCCCAGCGAGCGCGGGAAGGACAGCGCGCGACGGGCAAGGAGCCCTCGCCAGCGGCGGTGGGAAGACAGCTGGGAGGCGCTGCATGGACAGCATGCGTTTCTCCGGAGGCCCCAACGAGGGGCCCGCGGACAACTCCAGCCAGGGGTGGCCCCTGTTAGCCGGCGGTGTCAACGGCAGCCGGGCAGCGGAGGCGCTCGGGGACGGCGGCAGCCCCCAGGGGGACGTGCGCAACGAGGAGCTGGCCAAGCTGGAGATCGCCGTGCTGGCTGTGACTTTCGTGGTAGCCGTGCTAGGTAACAGCAGCGTGTTGGTGGCGCTGCACCGCACCCCTCGCAAGACGTCCCGCATGCACCTCTTCATCCGCCACCTCAGCCTGGCCGACCTGGCCGTCGCTTTCTTCCAGGTGCTGCCGCAGATGTGCTGGGACATCACCTACCGTTTCCGCGGGCCTGACGGGCTGTGCCGCGTGGTGAAGCACCTGCAGGTGTTCGGCATGTTCGTGTCGCCCTACATGCTGGTGGTCATGACCGCCGACCGCTACATTGCGGTGTGCCACCCGCTGAAGACGCTGCAGCAACCGACGCGCCGCTCGCGCCTCATGATCGCTGCCGCCTGGGTGCTGAGCTTCGTGCTTAGCACGCCGCAGTACTTCGTCTTCTCCATGGTCGAGGTGAACAACGTCACCAAGGCCCGGGACTGCTGGGCCACCTTCATCCAGCCCTGGGGTCCCCGCGCCTATGTAACCTGGATGACGGGTGGCATCTTCGTGGCGCCCGTGGTCATCCTGGGTACCTGCTATGGCTTCATCTGCTACCACATCTGGCGCAACGTCCGCGGAAAGACGGCTTTGCTCCCGGGAAAGGGCGCCGAGGGCGCGAGTGGCGCTTTGCATAAGGGGCTCCTGCTCGCGCCGTGTATCAGCAGCGTGAAGACCATTTCCCGCGCCAAGATTCGCACGGTGAAGATGACTTTTGTGATCGTGACCGTTTACATCGTTTGCTGGGCGCCCTTCTTCATCCTTCAGATGTGGTCTGTCTGGGATGAGAAGTTTGTTTGGATCGGTAGGTGTCGGGCGGGAGAAAGGAGGAAAGTGCGGGAATTCGGCTGTGCGTGTGGCTGGGGTTCGGGGGAGGGGGTGCTTTTCATACTATCCTCTGGGGCAGTAGTTCTTAAACTTCTGCATGCTTAGCTTTGGGTGAAATTACCAAAACGGCAGGGGTCTCCAACCCAGACATTTTGATTCAGTAGCTGTGGAATGGGGCCCAGGAATGTGCACTTGTAGCTTGAAGTGATCCTAAGACAAATCCAGAAACTGCGCCCTACAGTCAACCAGGCAACTACAAAACGTGATAATGACTTTTTGCCAGATCACTAACCACTGCGCTAATTTCGCCCCCCCCCCCCCCACCGCCTTTGCGTCTATCGGATTCAGATAAATATTTGTACTGTAACCACTGCTTTTTGCTAGCTTGTGAAAAATATCACAATACAAAAATTTTGTAGAAATGCCCCAAGGGCAAAGATAAACGCACATATTTTTTTCTGAAGAAAGATTCTTAAGAAGCCAATAATTCTAATTTAGCATTTAGTGTTCCATTTCTTATCATCTTTTAACTTTTTTTTCTGACAATTACTGTAGCACCTTTTTTTCTGGTATTTTAAAGCAGGATTATTGATAAACTCTAAATTTGTTAAAGTAATTAATTCATCTTTCAGCACTAACTTAACCATACATCTATAGCAACCCCCCCCCCCCGACACACACACAACTTTTGCAGTGTTTTATGGAGAATGTTCTCTACACCTACTAGTTTCTTGATTCTAATTCCTCCACAAACTAAAAATATTAACTTCAAAAGAACCCCACCAAAAACAGTTAAGGCTGGGTCTTGAAAAAAGTTATTTCCTATGAGTGAGAAAAAACCCAACTTTTTCAAATAAAATATATTACAGGAATGTTACCAACATCAGCTATAGTTGGGAAATAGGTATCTGGGAAGAACTGTCTCCTTTTGCTATTTGAGATTGAGGTAGGGAGCCTGTGTGATTTACTATTGGAAGTTATATGTGCAAATAAAACATTTGACAGTGAATTTAATTCAAACAAATAAAAATACCTACATGGCTATAATATTACTGATAATAAATAATACAACATAAATGCTATATTTTTGGTTTATCATTTCCGGTCTTGCTTGATCTTATAGCAGCCTCGTAATTATTGCCAATCAAATAAAAAAACTCAGTCTAATTATTGCTTTATCAGAATTTAGACATAATTTCTAAAAACTTCTCTACCTCTGCATAGGTATGGTGATGATTTTCATTTTTTTTGAATACAGTCTGTAACCATAGATCATGATCACCTTTAATGGTAGCATTTTAGCACAAGGTATGATTAAATCACCTGTAATTTATTCCAGCATAACAACAGTGAGAAGACCCAAGTTTATATTTAATAATGAAGAAAAAGTTAGTGCTTGCTGATTATTCTTATGTTTCAAAAAGGTGTATTATCAGTGTCATAGTTCTGTGAAAGATTATAATATTTATGTGGTTTACCAGTGCAAATTAGCATAAAATATTTCAAAAACTTGTTGGAATTTCCTAACTCAGCTGTTCTTAATATAATTTAATTGCCCAAACCACCAAAATGGTTTTCTTTTAAAATCAAAAGAAACTATAGAAAATTAACAACAACAAAAACACAAAAAACAACTCCAGAAACAACCAAATAATGCATCCTTCAGGGACCTATTACTACTGTTCCCTTATGTATAGTTGTCTTATTACAAAATATGTTTAATATTTAAAAGTGTAGAACTACTAAACATGTTCCATAATGTCATACTTTTGCCTTAGTTGTTAGGATGAATACAATTTTATTTATGTGGCTATAGACTTTTGAAATTTCATTGAAATTGCAGCCATTCTGTAACTGCTGTGTCTGTTAGCACATACTAATGCTAGTATAAAGAATACACATTTTTAAAAAAATAAATTGTGTCATATTCTTCCCACTCATTCTACTGAGATATTTTCAAGTGGTTTAAGATATTTGAATGAACGTCAATGCATCTTGCTTATGAAAATATTTCACAACCAAGCAATTTCCAGACACCAGCCATTTCCCGGATTAATGAACAATATACTTCATTTTCTACATTAACCCATAACTTTTTCCCCACTTCTAAGAGTCAGTAGAAAAATGAGTTCACCCAGTGCTCAGTTACTTTCATTTGACTATTTAAATAATCTCCCCTTACGTTTTTTGTACAGAATCAGAAAACCCGGCCATCACCATCACTGCATTACTGGCTTCCTTGAATAGTTGCTGTAATCCCTGGATATACATGTTTTTTAGCGGCCATCTCCTGCAAGACTGTGTCCACAGCTTCCCATGCTGCCAGAACATGAATCAAACGTTCAACAAAGAAGATTCTGACAGTATGAGCAGAAGACAGACTTCTTACACTAACAACCGGAGCCCCACAAACAGTATGGGTACATGGAAGGACTCGCCTAAATCGTCCAAGTCCATCAAATTCATTCCTGTTTCAACCTGAGCCCACATTCACGCAGCCTGACTCTTGTAGTGGTCTTTTGGGTCTACTGGCTGAATCCAGCTAGAAATCATGGGAACAAATGAACTTCTAAGAGATAAGCGTCAGTTTGTTGAGTGCAAGACTGTGTTTCTAGTTGCATTTTCTCATTGCTATGACCAAAAGTTATGAATTGTTTTATATGGGACGTTAAAAAATAAAAAAATTTAAAAATGATGAAAAAATATGCTACACGAAGATTTGTAGGCCTAATTTTCAGAAATATAATAGAAGTTATAGTTCTAAAGGAAAAACATAACCACCCTGGCTTTACATTCTGTTGTTGGTTTCCTTTCTTTTCTTTTCCTTTTATTATGGATAGAACTAAGGCTTGCTTGGTTTAGAAGTCATAGGATGTAGGGGCATTATTTCAAACAAAGTGAGCTCATCATCAGCCTTAGTGTTTGAAAGGAATTAGAAGAACCTTCAGAGAAATTTTTTCCATCCAATAAAAATCAGTTCATGCATCAGAAAATGCAGCCTCAGGTGCACCTGGGTGGCTCAGTCAGTTAAGCATCTGACTTCCGGCTCAGGTCATGATCTCAGAGTTCCTGAATTCCAGCCCCACGTTGGGCTCTGGGCTGACAGCTCAGAACCTGGAGACTGCCTCAGATTCTGTGTCTCCCTCTTTCTCTGCCCCTCTCCTACTTGCAGTCTCTCTCTCTCTCTCTCTCTCTCTCTCTCTCTCTCTCTCTCTCTTTCAAAAATAAACATTAAAAAAGAAAAGAAAAGAAAATGTAGCTTCAGGCAGAGACCTGGAGATGGGATAACGCCTTGGACAGGCATGAGTTCTTGGGGCATATGGAGCAGGGGGTGCTTGGTTCAGAGCAGAAAGAGAAAAGTTCTGTTAAATGCTAAATTCCAAAATGGTAACTTTAGAACCGACAGTTCCCTCCTTGTTTTAGGCTCCTCATGTTGTACCAGTTGTAGAAGGTATAATTTATTAAGATGCTGAAGGTTAGAGCAAATATTGTCAAATGGCTAATAAAATCTTTTTTCTCCCACTGCAAGGCCATTTTAAAATCAGATTTATGTAAAGAATATCCAGTTTTGTTAGAAGAACAGAAATGGATTGCCCAAGGTACTATGTAGACTTTGTCTAGAACACTGTAAACATATTTCGACCAGTGTTACAGGGTATTCTGTGTTGTGGTGGATAGTAACATGATTATTACTTCATGTTTGGGGTGTCCAGACTTATAAATAAGAGTCTCCTAAAGAGAAACTCAAGATGTAGAATGTCCCTTCGTGTTTAATTAAAAATAATTTGGTCTTTCCTTCCAGTCTCCCAACTGTCTAAGTTACATATGGTAGACGAGAGGCACGGTTGGATGGAATGGGGTGGAGATGGAGGGAAAAAAATTGTTCTGCACCTAGTATGGTTTCCTTTGTTACTAAATGCATGATTTTGGAAAATTACTTAAGCACACATAAAGCTTTCATCTCCTTGGCTGTACAGTGGGGTTGATAACGCCTCACAGGATTGTTGTGAGGACAAAATGAAATCAAAGATGTGAAAAGATCTTCCTGAACTGTCACGTGTCATATGAATGTACCAATTGCTTTTATTATAGTCTTAGGGCCTTCAGAATTGAACAGCTTTTTCCTGTTTACTTTCCATTAACCAGAATTTGTTGGTTTCATGTCTGGGATATAAAATCCTAGAATTTAAATATAGCTCTGCTGATTCATTGGAGAGCATTGCCAGCGGCCACTAAGCCTGACTTGTGCCTAACCAAAGTTTTCCAATTCAAAGATAGAACTTGCTTGCCTTTAAATGCAGGTAAGTCATGGGGCAGCTGGGTGGCTCAGTCAGTTAAGCGTCAGACTTCCGCTCGGGTCATGATCTCATGGTTTGTGAGTTCGAGCCGTGCACTGGGTTCTGTGCTGAAAGTCTGGAGCCTGCTTCGGATTCGGTGTTTCCCTCTCGCTCTCTGCCCCTCTCCACTCTCACTTTGTGTGTGTGTGTGTGTGTGTGTGTGTGTGTGTGTGTGTGTGTGTGTCTTTCAAAAATAAACATTAAATAAAAAATAAATAAATGCAGGCAAATCAGAGCCAGCCAAGAACACCAATTTCTTTTACTTCTAAACAGAGATAAATTACAGCACGACTTGACTGTTGTTACTGCATTTTTCATTAATCGAACCCAGTGTTTTTTTCCGAGCTATTTTGTCTGGCTCCCTCTCCTTTTTAGAGATCATGCAATGATTTGAGGACACATCATAAATATTTTGAATCCCTTAGAGGAATTAATAATCATTTTCATAGCATTGTTGTTGTTGTTGTTGTTGTTGTTGTTGTTTAACTTTGCAGATAAGAAATTGAGGACTAGATAGCACTGTGAGAACCTGGAAGTTTCAAGTTCACTCCTCTTCATTCTCTTGCCTTTCCAAATTCTCACGCCCGCTACTCCCTGGATTGATATGCCTACAAAAAGCTTGCAAATATTTTATAGAAATTAAGCCCTTAGGTTTTACAATTCTGCTTTTTAAAAATCAGAAATATGTCTCTTAAAGGGCACTGGATGGCACATTATGAGCCACCTTAAATTAATCAGTTCCTCATCATTTGAGTCATAATAGCACCTCACTAACCCTGCCCTCTCTGACGCTGTCAGCTCCTGTGACAGCTTCTCTTCAACAATTCAGAACTAAAGCCCTCTGGGTTGGTACAAAGATGAGCCCATCCAATTCCAAAATAATAGCCTCATGTTTTTTGTACAGACTGTTTCAAAATATTGATGTGTACCTCCAGGTAAAACAATTCTATTTGAATCTTCTATTTAGGAACATCTCTCAAATAAGTTGTGTATCAACCTACTGAGCTGTGTTCTCTCATTTTAATGCATCAGGAGACAAGATAATACAAAAGGCTAGGGAAAACACCAGATGATCCTGAGCGCTAGTTCTTCTGTACTAGGCAAATAGACGGTAGTATTCTCCGTGATTTAGGCTGAGAAGCTTAACTTAGCTAGTTGCTAAACTTCCTTAGTGTTATGTACCCAGATATGGTATTCATATGTCCCAAAACAATACTCCAAGTGGAAGAGTCCTGCCTGTCTATTTTAGAAGAAAGGGTGGGGCACCTGGATAGCTCAGCCTGTTAAGCATCTGACTTTGGCTAAGGTCATGATCTCATGGTCCGTGAGTTAGAGCCCCAAGTCGGGCTCAGTGCTGACAGCTCAAAGCTTGGAGCCTGCTTCAGATTCTGTGTCTCCCTCTCTTTTTCTGCCCCTCCCCTGCTCACATTTTGTGTGTCTCTCTCTCAAAAATAAATAAACATTTTTTTTTAAGAAGAAAGGAAACTGTAGGTGGTTAAGAAGAGTATGCTAGGACCTTTTCTTGGCTGAGGAGAAGATCTAAGATATTATGCCAAATGAAGGCTTACAATCAAAGATAAATGTGTAACATCACCTTATTTTATTTTGCAGAGTTATCTGTGGGAACATCGTGCAAGCATACAATATTAATGTATCTGTGTGGGTATGGGGAATGTAATTAAAAAATAATCCACTGGTACAGAGAAATGGGCGGTGTCATTTGATAAACATTAATTGTTGACAAAAAAGGAACATTTTACTTTTTTTGTGGGGGAGAGGGGCAGAGGGAGAGGGAGAGGGAGAGGGAGAGGGAGAGGGAGAGGGAGAGGGAGAGAGAATCTTAAGCAGGTTCCATGCTCAGCATAGAGCCCAATGCGGGGTTTGATCCCAAGACCCTGGGATCACGACCTGAGCCAAAATCAAGAGTTGGGTGCTCAAATGACTGAGCCACCCAGGCACCCTGAATAAGGAACATTTAAGAGTGTGCATTAAGTAATTAATGGGTTAATTTGGGACAGTATTTTTAAAATGTAAAAATAACTGGGCAGGAAATTCGTGAAATTCTTCAGTTACATATATATTCGCCCTACACACAGAACTTCAATCATCATCAAAGTAGTCTTACACCATAAATGAGGGAAGGGTGTGGTTTTTAAAGGGAAAAAAAGTCAAGCAGACTTATTAACATACAGCACCCTCCTAAACTTCTTATAATTCCTAAAATGGAAATCAAACACAACTTAAATCCGTTACTACACAAGGAAAGTAATCCAATTAGGTTACAGATTTAAGTTTTTCAGACTCTAAAACCCACATTATTGTAATGAAATTTGATACTTGAAGCTTTAAATTATAGTTCAGGATTTGATTCTACCACTAAGGCATAATTAGAACCATCCAGGGAGATTGAGCCTAATCCTTCATCCCAAATATCAGAGATTAGGCTCCTTTAAAACCCAGGTAAACTGGGCCCTTAAAGGATTTTCATACTGGAAGCAACAGCTGTATTTAGAGTAAGCCCAGGGCAGAGCCATCTTGCAGGTGCAGAAGCAGCCACTGTATCTACCTCCCTGTGGCCCTTGGCCACTGCCAACGCTTGGAATCATGAGTAACACAGGATGATAAATATTAGAGAATGAATCTTGTAAAAAAATTTTTCAACGCAGGGCTTGAACTCACAACCCCAAGATCAAGACCTAAACTGAGATCAAGAGTCAGACAGTTAACTGACTGAGCCACCCAGGTGCCCCTAGAGAGTTAATCTTTACTGCAACTTGACCTCAGACAATTTGTGCAAAAATTGAAAACTATTCATTAGAAAAGTTACTTCCTTTAAGTCCCCAAGACAGACTAAATAAGTTGAATCACTCAAATTGTGTGACTCCCCCCCACACACACAGCCATTTTAAAACTGTTACTCTAACTCGATTTTTAAGTACATTAAATTATCACGAATGAAAAAATATATATGACCTAAGTACATCAGCATCAAAAATGTACACTAAGGCTAAAAGTTAAATGCTATTCTTTTTTCTTTTTTGTTTTATGTATTTATATCACATCTTTTTACATTGATTTGTATTCTAAATAAAAACAAAATGTGATGGAATGAATTAAATATTTTTGTGTTCCAAATCTGAAAATAAATCTGACTGTAATATAAGAATAATTAAGAATCATTATTAATGTAAAATAATTAGCATTTCCACACATGAAAGTTGTTGTCTTTATTTCATGGGAATTCTGACTTCATATATTCTATAATGCTTTAGATCATTATTATAACAAATTTACTAAGAACTAATGCTGTAGAGGGGCGCCTGAGTGGCTCTGTCAGTTAAGCGTCCGACCTTGGCTCAGGTCATGATCTCATGGTTCATGGGTTCGAGCCCCGCGTGGAGCTCTGTGCTGACAGCTCGGAGCCTGGAGCCTGCTTCAGATTCTGTCTCTCCCTCTCTCTCTGCCCCTCCCCAGCTTGCACCCTGTCTCTCTCTCAAAATAAATATACATTAACATTAAAAAAAAGAACTAATGTTGTATATTTAGTATTCCATTTTGGGAACTGTTTATTCAAAGTTCTACATCCCTTAACTTGTTATGCTATACAGAGGAATTTTAATGTGTTTTCTTGGGGTAATTGTATGGTTCTGGTTTTG